TATTTGCACACACATACAGAATTCGCTAAACATACTTGCATTCTTCGCGCGCTAAACAGTCCCTGAGCGCGTCCTCGGCCTGGTCCCACTGAGCCACTTCGCCAATATAGTCCACCGGCCGGGTTGAGAGGGCAAAAGAGAACTTGAATCCAAAGGCGCTGTAAATTCGTGTGATCATCTTGATACACGTGCCTACCTGCAATACAATGTACGATAGGCAGGCTATGAGGGTTTCCACAACATGCATGCTACCATCCACTATTTACGACTTCTTGGGATGTGACGCGATGAAGGTGTAACAATAGACTGCCCAGTCCGTGGTGACCTGGGCGTACTAATGCTCATCACTAAGATATACACCTACTAAAGCCCTCTGAAATCAAAAAAAAATCCCCCCTCCCAACATTCATACCACCGAGTTTGTGCGTTGTCCCGGCTGTTTTCTACACCATCCTGTAGGAGCTATGTGGTGGAGTGCATACATACACCTGAATGTGCATGTATAGGTATATTGATCTCAGAAAGCACGTGTATTTCAAAACAAACACATGCACACCTCAGCCGCAATCTGATCCGATGTACAGAACACGTGCGCGTCGTCCTGATGGAATTTGCGCACACGTGTCAGTCCGCTGAGAGCGCCGGCCATCTCATTTCTGTGATATTTCCAAATGGGTGCGCAGATATACTTAAAACCCAATTTGTTATGTTATGTGTATGCTTTGTTATAGTCTCATGTCCGTGTCCGATACAAATACAGGCTCACCCTTACGCTAACCTGTAATGCGGGGGACCCCAAAAAGTTATATGTCTGGGGTAATGTTTATGGGTATACTTCGTTGATGTAGGCCAAACGTTTATGTGTGCTCATTTCAGGAACGTTTTAGCCATCTCAAATCTATGGCAAATCGAAGTACGTACAATCGGCTACGCACGTCTGAAGCATATCAAAAGCTATGGCGTGTGATCGGATAGTGCCAACAGCGGCAAGTATCCGATGATTGCACTCTGCATATATATAGGATGGTTTCAGTACTATCTCAAAGGTACCGGAATGTGAGCGTGGAAATGACATCATAGCGTCTCCCATTCTGTCCACGTGCGGACATATGTGCGTACACGCGAACTGACTGTAACAAGTATTGTCTGTGGTCGAAGTAGTCCGGGATGGCACGCCCGGGATAAACCGTACCAAAGCCATTGAACGCGACTCCAGATTGCGAGGGAATGGACTTGTGTGGAGATTGACACAGCACTGTCGCGGATCCTGACATGCGTTGATTATATTACCGGTAGATCCATTGCCAAAGAAAGGGGTGCGTGTGTCCTATATTCTATCGCAGTGTTCCTTCAACAAGGACGTATGTCATGCTACTCCCTACACCACAGGTGTATGGTGTGATATTATTATTGGCATTGTTCTACATCTCCCGCTGCCGGATAGTTTACACTCGGTGACTCCCACTGGCAACTACACCCGGACAGCGACCCAGTATAAATAGTACACACGCCTACATGCGTTATGAAGACGTGTGTATCGCTCCTATTTAGTGACCAGGACGACTTGATAGTGCCTCACTCGCAAAATAATGCACACCCGAAGGAGCTATACTTTCGTGCCAACACTCCCACTTACAAGTAACACGGATACCAATACAGTACGAACAGTACATACATGGACTGGGAAGACGTTACTAAAATGTGTTTATCACTTCTTCTGAGCAACGATAAGATAGTACTGCGCCCACATAATAATGTACACACAAATCAGTTGCACCTCAAGCGAACATCAATATTTCTACAAAGGTCGTGGCACACAAACTCAACTCGTATACATATCACGTACATCGCGTCGACAGAGAACAATCACAAGCAGCAACTCTACCACAACGATGCTTGCAAGAAAACACGGCATACAACTCTGTGTGGACAGATAGGGGCTTTTAAAGACACGAATTTACCGGTGGAGTGCGCTGAAGTCGGCCAGTCGTATCGGGAGGTCGCGATAGGAGTGAATCTACGCCGGTGCATGGTGTGAGAGGGTGATAGAAGAACATGAGGTCACAGGCTGGGTGGAGGTAAGCGTTATAGAGTACCAACATATACATATATATATATATATGCATATACATATACATATACATACATACATATATAAACACATCTAAATATATATACAAATTCATTTACATTTAAATACAAATACATTTACGTAGTTTGCGTGCAGCATACAGGTAGAACGTACGAGATACTGGGCTACATGCAACCGGTGACCACGATATATACAGGAAAAAGCATCGTGTATTCAGGATAAAAAATCTTCCTTAGCGGTAGCCATATGTTCCGTGAGCTATATATCTATGGCGAGAGCAGTGCATTCTGCGTTGAAGTATATGCGTGGGAATACCTGGTTGGCGAAGATAAGGCAATGGCCAGGGCAGTTCATGGGCTTCATTGCGAATTCCTGATGGTCCTCCTTATGCTCGTCGTGCCCTGGGCGACTCTGTGATTCAAATGAGCATTTCTATGCGATAGGCGTAGTCATTCTTCAAAGCAATGTTCTTTGGGTCTCGATTACAACTTGTCGATACGATTGTGAGATTCATATTTTTTTTATGAGGGTGGGCGTATTCCCCCAAGGTGTACAACTTGCTTCTTGATCCGAAGTGATCTTTACAAATGGGTTGTTCTGTGCGTGATGTGGTTGAAAAGAAAATTCATATACTTATTGCTGTTGATGATGAGATATAATAGAATACTTACCAAGTAAAGCGTGTGTAAATTCACAATGATAGTATTCAATAAAGACTGAGTTTTGTACAAGTACCCGGCTATTAGCTCGGATGAAATAAAACTATCAAGCTCAGACATAGTGGTAGCAGGTGCAGTATAGGAAGCCGTCATCACTTCTGCACGCTAATGGATAGCAAAAACTGGAAATACTTGCATGCCCTCCAGTCCAATACCTACAGTATATACCCTATATAAATCAATACATGCCAGAATGCGTATGCGACTATCAACTCAGTCAGAATACTGACTTTGGCAATACTAACTTTCGACTACCATATGTATGCTGATGAAGTGAGACGACATGTTCTGTGTAGGGCATTCACGTACCCCTGCATGCTCTGCATCAGGCGACGACTCCACCTTGCTCGTCTCCAGATGTGACCCCGCGTTGATTGTGAACATTTCATCCTTGTATAGTTGCCAATGTCCACTGGTTAAGATGATATGACATAGATATGGGAGAACTTGATTGGTAAAACGAATCATTTTAGGCAACTGTATAACTAGTTGCCAATGTCCACTGGCTAAAATACTATATGGTCATAGATACACGAGTCAATTTGATTGGTGAATGAATCCACTTGAGTAACTAGGAGTGTAGATGCCCAATAGAAGACAGGCTTTTACACCTGTACGTAGCTCAACAGCATTAGAAATAACAGCGAGACTAGTGACGGCTACTTATGGACCACACTGACACCAGAGGAAAATATCCATGTGGTGCATACGGTAATATATGTACTGCATATACAACAACACATGTGCCTATACAAATGCATAATTCCATTAAAGTACATATGTGCAAAGATATACAATCATGCAGGTGTGTGCCACTTTTTTTGTTCTTTTTTTGCACCTTGTCTGCCACAGCTTTTTCTTGTAAATTGTCGGCGTGCCCACCTCGTCGTAGTCGTATTCGCGGTACAGTTGCTTCACCAGATCCGTGAGCTGACATGTACAAAATAGAAGTATAAGTACATCACATAAAATGTACCCGACTCTAAAGTGATCGTTAGACCAGTGGCTTCATCAGATCGGTGAGCTACCATGTACAAAATAGAAGTATAAGTACATCACACAAAAAGTACCCGACTCTGAAGTGATATTTAGACCAGTTGCTTCACCAGATCGGTGAGCTGCGATGTATCAGGTAAAGTAGAATTGCACCAAATAAGAAGCACACCACCTATGTGAGGATAAGTGAAGTCTATCGATAAAAATCTTACCTGGCAGCCGAGAAATGAGATCTACAAACGCATACTGTACCACATTTACGTATTCAGAGAGACAACCATTGTCCCTAATACACCGCTTGCAAACAATGGACGGCCTCGAAGGGCTTGCGAGGATGTGTAGAGCAACCAAGCCGCCACAGATGGACACCAGGTGTAACATTATCTAACAATGCCACATAAGTAATAGAACAAACAAGCCTTGCTGATTATTCCTCGTACGTGCAAAATAAAACAGAAGACTGGATAAACTCCTGTTTGATTATTTTTTTCGTATCAGCAGATGCTAGTCAGGTATAAATTCTCTGACTATGGA